TACATATGAATGAAATGATCTACTCTAGCAACCGATTTAATTACTTTTGAGTAAGAGACCAACTAAGATATTTGATTGTTTTGAAAGGAAAAAACATTGCTTATATTTGATAGCAAAATTTAAACTAATTCCTTCACTCAGCAAGTAATTAATATCCATTAAAGTATGCACCAGAAATATACATTATAATCCCCACATTGAAGAAGTTTGCAATACAGTAGAGTCAGACTTCATGTCCTCCACAGCTCTCAGAAGTCTTGCATGTAGATATTAAAATTCACTTAGGAAATATTTACTGTGTACCTAGTGTGTGCCACTCCTGATTGTCAAGGTGGTATCGGCTGGCTAATTTCTGAAGATAGATGTTTCTTGGGAATTGTAAGTGCATCCATATATTTCATGGGTTACTAGAGATTGAAATTGGAAAGGTGCTTTCCATTTTTCCAAAATATAAACACACAGTGTTTTCCTAATTAGAAAACTGGAGGTTAAATTCATTAGACTTTACAAGGCAATAGAATTTGCTTTTAGTAATGAAAACAGATACACATTTGAGAGGGGTTTTTTCCCTAGTCAGTACAAATTTCTAAATCATTTTGAGGTGTCTACTTTTTCATATTTTGATGCATACAAATATTTCTATGATGGTTAAGTACGATTTTAAAGCAAAAATATCACTTTCAAAATATTAATGCTGTTTTTTTTTTTTTAATCTTTATGTCAAGTAATTTGGCATTTTAGACTGTTGGTTTATACCCTTAGAGTGCTGCCTGGGAATATTTGGCAGTGTTTGGAGACTGGTTTTTAAGCTGGGCAAGGGCTTGGGGGGTCGGGGTGACTGGACTCTAGAAGGGAGAAGCTAAGGGTGCTAGTAAACCCTGCATTGCATAGAACAGCCATGACCAAGAATGTCTGGCACAAAATGCCGTCTTACCAAGACTCAGAAACTTAAGTTTTGTACTGGCTTGTGAAAAGCATGTGAACATGGTGTGTACCATGTTGCACTAAGAACACGGTTTTTGCTTTCTCCTGTCCACAGGAAATAGATCACAGTTCTCAAAGAGCTCATATACTGAAACTAAAAATAACAGATGCGAAAATCAAAAAAGAACAAGTTATGTTCTGTAATGGAGCTAAGTGGCAAATCTCTTTTTTGGGTGGGTTGGAGAAAGCTTGACAGAAGTTTGAGTGGTTGAAAATTCTGCTCAAATTTAGCAGAACTTTAAGTAGATACTAGACTGAAGGACAGCATAAGCAGAGGCAAAGGCATATCCAAAAAGCTTGAAGCTTGTTAAATCATAATTGACTAGAAGTAGTTCATTATGTTGAGGTGAGTCTGGAGTCTGGAGTACAATCCTCAAATCCAGGAGTGTGAGCTTTATCCTGACAATAAGGTTATAAAATAAGCAGTCTACATTTTCCAAAGATTATTCTGAGGGTCATGTGTCCGGTGGAGATAAGCCCTTTGGGAGAGATTTAAACTGGCCCAACAGATCATGAAGGTCTAAGATAACATAAGAAGATCTGACTGGCAAGGCTTTATATCTTTACCATCTTCAATTGTATGTGAGAAAAAATTAGATATAGACATGTTTCATTATGGGGATTTCATGGATGATAGAAGTCTTAAACAGTAGAAAATACACAGGAAGAGTGAGTACTGGAAATAATTTTTCTTAAGACAGGATTTTTGAGGTGTCTGTAGAATATGTATGTATAGATGTATGCATACTTATGTGGAGCCCTATGAAATATTTGTCTGGTTATGATTATTAGGAATGATATAAAAGCATATGACTTAATAGAGAATTGTATTTCTAAATATGCCAGTGATTACTTGAAAGTCTCTCCATCTCCCTTCTTTGTGTTGCTCTGTCTCCCTGCTTCTGTGTCTCTGTATACTCTCAGTATCTCTGTCTTTCACACACATCTGTAACCTTTGGAGTATGGTAATAAAACAGACCTCTTAGGGTTGATATAACTGAAATTGAACTAAAGAATAAATATAATTGAATATTATAAGGCATTTGAAGAACTGTAGGAATAAAACATTCTGAGAGGGATAGCAAGTGTTTACCTTGATAGATGTTTGTATACTGAAGTTACACTTCTAAGATTATTCATTTTGATAGCTTTTAAATAACATCGGCTGAGTTGCATGGATTGCCTCTGGTGTGCTTTAGATTAGCTTTTGTTTTTAGGTTTTGACTCTTCATTATTCAAGTATGTTTTTTTAACCTATTTTTTCATTTAAAAAAAAAACCTGCTATGTCTTACTCTTCAGGTGCAAACCTCTTGTGCTGGGTATTTTTTTGTACTTCTAAAGAAGAAAACACAGGCACTGCTTTTAAAGTGTCTACTGAAAACACATTCACTAATAACAGGAATAGAAAAACTACTGTAAAATGTTTGTGTGGTGTGGTTGTTATTGTACTCTTGGTTGGGTTTCTCTGTTCATCAACTCTTTGAGCAGGAGGCAGTGTAGAGTTCCTTATGATTATTGCTAACACATTGTAAGGATTTATTTTTTTGAAGTCTATTTAGTGCCGGATCTACTTAATACTGGCCTGTGTCCCAGAAGACTGTCAGAGATAAGGCTATTATCCTTTCATTGAGAATTATCCTGGGAAAGTATTTATAAAATTGAGCCCTGTTGCACCTACTGACCTCCTTTTTTAAATGAAGGAGGGGAAGAGGTGGAGATTGTTTTCACTGAATTCAGATGAAGCAGTGTGTTTAGCTGCATGGACACTAGTGCCTTTTATATTGTGCAAATTGATTCCATCTTGTGCCTAAAAGAAACACGTTGACAATTCAGCTCAGGAAGCCGACAGTCACATTGGTGTTCAGTACTTGTTGGCACAGTTGTCTTCCTTCCTTCCTTCCTTCCTTCCTTCCTTCCTTCCTTCCTTCCTTCCTTCCTCCCTCCCTCCCTCCCTTCCTTTTCCTTCCTTCCTTCCTTCCTTCCTTCCTTCCTTCCTTCCTTTCTTTCTTTCTTTCTTTCTTTCTTTCTTTCTTTCTTTCTTTCTTTCTTTCTTAAGATGAGCAGTTCTAAATAGGACTTTCAGCTATTTTAGGATTAATCTAAAATATCTGGTTGCTGTCATGCTTCCTCCAAAGTTGCTATGAATATAACTTAGTGGCATTTTCTTAAAATATGACACATAATACTTTCAGAAAAAGTTATATACTTAATATTCATGCTTGACCTCCTCCCCGTGAAGTACTCAGGATCTAATATAGAACATCAAACATATTAGGCAAGCACTGTACCACCTAGCCTGCGTGCTTAACTTTTAGTTTTTTTTCATTGAAATGAAAAAAAGTTGTTAAAAATAATTTTAAAAACGTAGTCACCTGCTAAATCTATCAAAAGTAGAAAAGACTTGGGAGAACAATACATGTAACTTTCAATATCATTAGAAATGATTTTGGATTGTCAAATACTTGAGCTGTCATTGCATGGAATATATGCTATTTATGTTTTGCATATATTGCGAAATGGCCCACACATTTGCACACTTGCCAGGTCATTTGCTGGTTTCATGCATCATTGATGAGTTAAATGGTAGTTTGTTGCTTTCCAAAAATTAGTTTGCTTGATCAAACAACATATAAGTGAAATAAACTCATTCCCAGTTTTTTTCCAAACAAACCAGAGTATTTTTATTTTTCTGTATTCCCTCCTATTTCCTTCTGTTTTGAAGAGCCTTTCTGATAACTGGCCCTGTGTTGAAGTCAGCCACTCTGGCCTCATAGTGTATTTTGAGCCTTTTCCATAGTAGTTCAATATAAAAATTTATTAGCTCTGCAAATGCAAAGATATTCTGTTTGTATCTTTTTTAATTTTTGATTTATTTTTATTTTATGTATATGAGTGTTTTGCTTGCATGTATGTAAGTGCATCTGTATCATGCAATGCCTGTGGAGGCCAGAAGAGGGTGTTGGATGCCCTGGAACTGGAGTTAACAGACAATTATTAGTTGTTATGTGGGTGCTGGAAACTGCACCCAGGTCCTCTGCAAGCAGCCAGTGCTCTTAACTGCAGAGCCATCTCTCCAGCTCTTATTTCTATTTAATAGTAACATTTTCTAAATTAGAAATCTGATAGAAATTTAAGTTAATCAAATATAAAATAGAAGCACTTTATGTATGTAAAGCAGTGGACACACTGCAAAATTAGTTACAGCCTAGGTTTTCTCACATACTAACATCTATTGTAAAGTGAACCTTCCAGTATTTGAGTCATTATATTACAAAATTCTACAGCCCAGTAGGATAATATCTGTCTAAATATTCAATATTAGGTAAGTTTTTAGTCATATAATCAGAAAAATAGATGGATCTTTTCATAACGTATCATAGGTTGAATTTAAGCTATTATAACCTGTCTCAAAACTGGGAATCACTTACCGGTTTTATCTATTTGTTCAGTATATTTACAACTAGAACTGTTTCCTGCTATTTAAATAAGAAAAAAATAGTCATGTACTGTCTGAGTGCAGTGCTATGTGTGCTATATTAAAATTTTAGTAATGGAAGTTACAGAAACAAGAGACAGACATACAGTGGAGCATGAGTTTTTCAGTCAGAGACGGGAAGTTTGTAACTAACCCTAGCCCTTCCCGCCGTGTCTGTGTTCTTGGTCAGGTTTAACTCTTAGCCTGTGTCTTCCTCTGAAGTGAGTGTATTAGCGCTTAGCTTGTAGGATAATAGTATTGCATCCATCTGTGTCACCTCGCATAGAAACTGTCAATAATGGCAGTTCTAGTTCCCAGTTATTACGTTTAATATTAATAAGATTTGTACATAAATACATTATCAGTCACTTCAGAGAAGAATCTATTTTAAATGATCCATAATATATATTAAATATGATTCTTGTAAATTCTATAATGATTGAAATAATATGTAATAGTATAATACCTAAAATTATAGAGAACCAGTAGAAAATTTGTTCAGAGTCTTCTGCCAGCTAACATAAACTTTTCTTTCCACAGGCTCAGCACTATGTGAATACAGCCTAAAGCCTTCTGAATACACTCTACCTTTAAAGTCTTCTTCTCTTTGCCCCAAACTACCAGTTCCAGCGAGGTAAATTTTCTTGCAAAGTTGTTAACTTACAGCTTTTGTTTTCATAGGTAAACTTTACACTGTGTTAGTGTGAGAAAATTGTCACCTGATGATACCTGTTGCCTGAGTCTGGTACTTTGATAATGTTTTAAAAGTAGAAATAGACATGACATTTTTTTTTTTTTTTAATCTTTAAAAGATGTATGCACAAACAACTTTTCTTATTAGATATTTCGAGTTTCTTTTAGGGGCTTACTTTTTGATGTTTTCATTTTCATTCATAATTTTTAAGTATACAAAACTGTTGAATCATTATCAAATCTGTAACAAATTTAGGAACCAGTTCTCACCATCCCCATATATCCTTAGAAGTTGATCCTAGTAATGCTTACTGAGATTATTTTTTAAATTTCTCTGTCAATTTTAAAACTGTGTGAGTGTTCATTCTCCATAACTTGTTTGAGGTTATATCCTTTAGGCATAGTCCCAGAATTAGGCTATGCCATGTTTTATCCTAAATCTTATTCAACAAACATTTATTATTAAGTACTGACTGCGTGCAATAATGCAATGATGAAGCAAATATTCTTTGGCAAAAGCTCATAGTACTTACAGCAAAGCAAACATTTGCATTATACATACATTTAAAAAATAGAAACTGAAGCATTGTAGAATGTATCCTCAAAATTATGTATGTGTGTGCATATATTTATTTGTGTATGTGCATACACATGCACTTTGAAGTATCTTAAGAGCCTTACTGTGTATTGCTAACAGTGTGACCTGAGAAACCTTCTTGAGGAAAACTTGACTATAAGCCACTCTTATTATATCCCAGTATATTATAGTGAGCTATTAGGTGAAAATTTTCAGATTTGAGAACATGAAAGCAGATGATATCGACTTTAAGATTACTTATCGTTAACTTGTACTTTATTAACTTGAATTTGAAATTTTCTGTGGGAAATTATGAAAAGGACAGATGCGTCAAGTTGATTTCCAGCTCTTTCAGTCTTTTCAAGTTGCTACTGAAAATCAAAATTTAAAGCCTATAGACATAGAAGTAAAGGCACTATTTTAGAAGACTCAGTAAGAAGAGTTTAAAAATTACCGCCTTAAACCAACTGCTAAGAAGATTCATTCATGAAAATGAAGACTGTCAGGGAGGCTGCAGCAGTGAGCCAGGGAGGCCCTTTAATATAGTCATCACTGAAAATTATTGACATAAAAATGCAGAGCTGGGCCTGGTGTATGGGCCTGTAATCCCAGCCACTCAGGAGGATGAGGCAAGAGGATCTCAAGTTCAAGGCCTGTGCTATATAGCAAGTTTGAGGCCAACCTGGGCAATTTAGTGAAACCAGGTTTCAAACTAAAATGTATCCAGGTGCGGTGGTGAGCGCCTTTAATCTCAGCCCACAGGAGGCAGAGGCAAGCAGATCTCTGTGAGATCAAGGTCAGCCTGGTCCACATAGTTTCTTTCAGACCAGTTAGGACTAGGGAGACCCTGTCAAAAACAAACAAAAACTAAAATGCAAAAGGATTGGGGATATAGGTTAGTAGCAGATCATTTGCCTAGCATGCATGAGACCATAGATTTGAACTCCAGTATCACAAAAGAGGATTGCATATGTTTATCTACCCAACTGATAAATTTGTTTTAAATATATATTTTGAGTATAGACTTATTCTTACAAGGCTAAAAAATATTATGGAAAAAGTAGCCAGAAAGGCTTGGGTATGAGACTGTGCTTAGAATCGTGAGTGGATGGGGGAGGGGAAGTTTTGTGGCTTATATTGCAACTCCTGCGGCCCCCACCTCTGGCCCCACCAGTGGACATTTCCTATTCCTGATTATGTTGGGTGCTCCAGTTTTGGCTGCACATACACACATTCCCTCCCTCCCTCCCTCCCTCCCTCCCACAGCACCCTAAGAACATGGACTGAAAGACAAAGTATAATATTTGGATGGAAGCTTTATAGAAGGATCTGGTTCCCAACAATGGCATTATCGTTTCACTAAAGTCAAAGGTTGAACCTCTCCATCTGAAGTCTGATTCTACACTGGGTCTAAATATTCTCTTTCATTCATTATAATACATCCCAATCTAGTGTCTTGTCATTCTTCTCTGGACTAAGCCTATTGGAAAGCAGAAAAAAAAAAACCAAAAACCAGTTAACAGAAGGAAGACAAATGACATTCCCCCCCAAATCAGAGAAATACAATATTTGGCAAGCAAAGTGAAAGGACATGAAAACAAGAGTAAATTCGACTGAGCAGCAGAACCTTGGGTGCCGCTACTCTCCACACGCAGTATCAGAGCCATGTGTCCAAAGATCAGCAAAACCTGCTCTTCGGCCCCGAACTCATGATCCAGTAGTGACCATGTTGTTCACTTCCTTTTTAATGCTGAAAAACCAGCACCAGGCTAAACTATGATTCAAGCAAGTGTCTTGTATGTCTGTATTCTAGGAGCATCCTAGTAGGAGACAACAGCATGAACTTTTGAGTCCAGATAAGTCATGACTTCTTAGCTTGAATTTGAAATTTTTTGTTAGAAAATAGGACACAATGAGTCAAGTTGATTTCCAGCTCTTTCAGTCTTGTCAGATTGTTACTGGAAATCAAATTTAAAGCCTATAGACATAAAAGTAAAGACACTATTTTTAAATATTCAGCAGGAAGGACCTAAAAATTATAGGTCTGGGGGTGACCTTGTTCCCTTTTCTGTTTATGAGCTTGACCAAGTCTCTTTAAGTTTTTTTTATGAATAAAATGAGAATAGTTATACTTCCAGAATTGTTTAAGACTCAAGGTAATAGATGTTTATTACTGGCACTCAGCTTAGAAGGTCCTGTTTCCTCTTTGCCAGTCTTCCTGTGTGCCCCGAGACCAGCTGGTGTTGGTACCTGTTCTAGCAAAAGCAGCTGAGAGTAATTTGCAGTTAAACACTAAGAACACATTAAAAGCCAAAAGGCTATTTTTTCCCCATAGCTTTTGAATTTTAAAAGCAAATGGCTAGAAAAGGCAATAATTTATCCAAATTCATAACTCTGTTGGTGAAATGCCAGGTGTGGTGGCAATATGGGAATAGGCAGCCTGCATGCTTGTAGTAGTATTGCATGCAGCCTGGGAAAACAGCAGTAATAGAGACAAATTACTCGGTTTACTCATTTATATAGGTACCCCTGGATTCCAGAAAGGTTGCTAGGTACTAGGGAGTTAGTAATGTGAGGTTAAGGTAAGAAAGCAATAACTAAGAAAAATACGACCTATTCATATTTTCAAGTGGAAGATTGATGGATGAATTATTATTTACAAATCACCTACTGTGTACTAGCTAACATAGTCTCTCACATGTATTATCTCCTTTAACCCTTACAAAACCTGTGCAGATATTGCCCCTAATTTGTAGGTAAATAAAGTGGATGATGAGAGACAATAAGTTACCGAAGGCCGCACAACTGGTTACTGTGGGTCAGAATCTGAATCTAGGATCTTGTAGAGGCTGTGACAGGTTTTGCTGTTGGTGTTTCTAAAGATGTATAAAAGTGAGAGAGAGAGAGAGAGAGAGAGAGAGAGAGAAATAGAATGAAATGTATGCAAACACTTTATATTACCAGTAAATTCCTCTTATTTTCTGCCTTTTGTATACTATAGGGAGCTTTCTAGAGTCTGTTTTGGTATTCTTAAAACTTTTAGCTAGACATCATGTAGTTTATTTTTAGCTGAGAGTTGTAAAATAATTACATGCCTTCTCTCTTGAAGATGCATGGACAGGGGTTGTGGGCACTGTTTGTCATTTTACTTTAGGGAGCTTGTTTTTTGTGGCAATTGGGACCCAAAGGCAAATAAGCAGATATTTGCCAAGGTAAGATGCAATTTACCTATGAGTGGCTAATTTTTTAAAATCCCATTACAGATTGATTTTGTAATTGTTGACTAATGCTTCAGCAATGTGAAACAAGAACAGTTGCTAAAGGAGCTGCATTGACGTCTTCAAGAGTCATTAGTTTATGGACTTTGAAAGACAGAAAAACGTACTGTAAACAGAAGACTTTATGCTTATCCTGTCATTCCAAAGCACAGACTGTGCCATTTAGGGTAGACTCTAATACAGACATGATCTCATATATGAGCTTCTTAAAAGTGTTTTCTTGGGGCTAGAGAGATGGCTCAGAGGTTAAGAGCACTGACTGCTCTTGCAGAGGACCCGGGTTCAATTCCCAGCACCCACATGGCGGCTACAAACCATCCTTAACTCCAGTTCCAGGGGAATCTGAAGCCCTCTTCTGACTTCCGTGGCATTGTAGGACACGGGTGCCCTTACATACATGCAAGCAATACATTCATACACATAAAATAAAAATAATAAATAAAATATTTTAAAAAAAGAAGTGTTTTCTCAGAGGCATGAAATGAGATAATTCATCTTGAATTCAGTATATCAAATAGGACTTAAATGATAAAATAGAAGCAAACATTTAGTACTTAAAGTAAAAATTCTGTGAGAGTAAACTGGATGCATTATATACAGGCATGAAATTGTCAAAAAGCAAATTTAACCAATAAAAATTTTTAAATAAATCAAACTTAAGAGAAAGGAAAATAATTCAAAATTGAGTGTGCTAGCTCATACCTATAATTCTAGCACTTGGGAAGTTGAAGGAGGAAGATTGCTGTTTGAGGTCAGCCTGGGCCACAGAGTGAGACCCTATCTCAACAAGAATTGAAGAAACTGGGAATGTGGTTCAGTGGCAGAGTGTGTAGCACAAGGCCCTGTGTTCAGTAAGAAGGGAGGGATGGAAGAAGGGAAGGAAGGAAGGAAGGAAGGAAGGAAGGAAGGAAGGAAGGAAGGAAGGAAGGAAGTCTACTTTAAAGCTTAGTATTTAATTTATTTTTGAATAATGCACCAAAACGTGATTTCTTACTTGCTTTTTATTTCTTATTTGTTATAGCTACAAGCAGATTTTGACTATTAACTAGACAATGCAGTTAGCTAGATTGTGATGATTTTTATACCTTTGAATTTAGAGCTGCAAGGTTGTTTTGTTTTTTTTTTTTTAAACTGGCATAAAGTGAATCATAGGGTAAAAGATCATTGTTATTTTGCCCCAATTAAAGTACACATTGCAGTTGGTCAGGTGACTTGAGAGTTCAGAGCAGACCTTACTTGGCATTTCTTCCTAAATAGGTATGAAAGATTAGGATTTTGAAAGTCTGATCCTTCCCTTTTCAAGCCAACTCTCCTCATCCTGAGTTCTCAAAGAAGCAAACGCCGACCATACTGGCTGTGTTGCTCCTGAGAGTTTGGGGCCTGTGTCAGCTCTTGGCTGACTGTGGTGTTATTGGTAATCTGAAGTGATTTACAGAACCCTGCTCCTACCCTTTTAGCCAACAGGACAGATCTGAGAAAGACCTTGCACCTGTGCAGTGTTAGGAGCATTGGGACTGTTACTGATACCTGACAGGAAAAAAGAAGAGTGAATAGGGCGAAGACAATTGGTGGATACCACAAACAAGAAAAAAGACAACAGTGTTTTAAGGTGTATCTGTTTTAGAGGAGACAAATGAGTTAAGCCAAGGCTACATCAAGAGATGACAGGCTAACATACACAGAGGATGGGAAAGTAGATAATTGTGGAACAGAGAGCACTTTGTAGCCAGGCTTGAATTTTAAAAAAATGTGTGTGTGTGTGTGTGTGTGTGTGTGTGTGTGTGTGTGTGTATAAATTAGAAGATGCTTATACAGAGATACTAACTTAATAGAAAAGGTCTCTGTCCAGACAATATCAGAAAAAGAAAACTAACTGCGAGTTAGAAAAGAGTGGTCAGTTTAAGGACTTCTGCCCCAGATCAGCCTGCATTGACTTAGAAACTTATAGCTAATCCATTTTTATTTCTGTAATATTCCTAACTAAATCCACTGCAGTTAAAAGTGTTCTGTGCTGGGCATGGTGGCGCATGCCTGTAGTCCCTGGGAGGCAAAGGCAGGCAGATCTCTGTGAGTTCAGGGCCAGCCTGGTCTAGATAGTGAGTTCCAGGCCAGCTGGGGCTACAGGGAGACCCTGTTTCAAAAAGACAAAAAAAAAAAAAAAAGCGTTCCATAATTTGATACCTTTTCACATCATTCGTGACATAATGCTCATCCAAAAAATTTACTTAGAATGCCCTAGCTTCCTGCAGTTTTAAGTAAAACACTGTATCTTTGATCCTAATTCCGAGGAGTTCCTGGTAATACCATTTTGAGGTATACACAAATACACATGCAGATACTTAAAGATGACTTTAAAATGAATATTCATGTTATATTGTAACATCATTTTGGGATACATTTTACCGAAGAGTAACTAAGGTAAGGCTTCTTCTTTAAAATTATTTTGTTTTGTAAAGTTTAACAGCATGAAAGATGTTGCTTTTTCTTACTATCATTACTATTCATTTACTAACATGTAATGAAGACTGATACATAGCCTACTCATTCTTATTTGAAAAGGAAATGCTTTTGAGGAAGGAGACAAAGACAGTGTTTTGCTTCAGGTCATACAAAGTTGTTTTGCTGAATTAGAAACCTTGGAATGTGATGCCCAGCCATGCAATCTTACCTACTAGTTAGACCAAAATATAAGAACAAAGACATATTTACATCTCTCTAACCTAAGATTATGTTATATTAGACTTGTCACTGTTAGTCCCATGAACAGTTCTGAAAATGTGAGGTTTGTGTTAGAATGTCCAAATTTTAACTTGATCCATGTGTAAGTGTTTATGTATACATGACGTACATATGGACTTTGCTGGAATCTTAATGTGTTCTTAGGTAGACAATGTTATCATTGATTATGTATTAGCCTTTTAAGATTTGTAGTACATAATATTATTGCAAGCCAGATTCATACACAGCTGTTCTTTCACAAGTCACAGCTATCCTACTTTGAAGCTTGGATTGAGTGGTAAATGATTAATATTGTTTACTTCCCCTTTTATGGACATACAATATTGGATTATTGGTAACATATAAGAAGTAAAGAAGGGGCTAGACAGATGGCTCAGCAGTTAAGAGCACTAGCTGCTCTTGCAAAGGATTCGGGTTCTATTCTCTGCACCCACACGGCAGCTAACAACCATCTGTAACTCCAGTTCTAGGAGATCCAACACCCTCTTCTGACCTCCACAGGCATTCCATGACACAGGTGCACCTACCTATATGCAAGCAATACATTCATACACATAAAATAAAAGCGTTAAATAGTTTTTAAAAATAAGGAAAATAGCAAGGGTATAATTGAATGGTACAGCACTTACCTAGCATGCCCGAGGTCCTGGGTTCAATCCCATGCACTGAAAAAGAAAATAGTCCAGTATCCTATGATCCTAACATATCATGTAGTTTTAATTTTTTGAGCCATCTTTTTGTGTCTCCATTGTTATGTGTAATCCTTTATGCAGATGTCACCAGACATTATATGTAATTTTCCCTTTATTTCTACATTATAAACATTTCTGTGTATTAGTTCTCATGGCTATTGTTTTAAGTTGCTGTATGTTAATATCTTAGCATGCTTTTATTTATGTGAGGGCAGTTAAGCTTGTGCCCTAAACATCTTCATTAACGTGAGGTTTCCTATGCTCTTTTAATAGAGGAAACATTCTATTAATGGTGACACATTTCATGTATAAGCATGTATCTTTGTTTCTGTTTGTTTTCATTTCACTTGCTTATGGCCAGAGTTCATTTTCCATTCAATGAAGCACATGCTTGTAAACTTCGCCATCCACCTCTCAATGGGTGGATGTGCAGAGTTGAGTCTCGAGTGTTTGGTTTGCTTCTGGTAGTTTGTGTGTATGTGTATGTGTGTGTTTCTTTTCAGAAGGGACGGGTAATGTCTTCTGTTGGAACATGCACTCCACCCTCTTTGATAAGCTGGTGGTAGGATTTGCATCACTCTGCACAGCGGTCATCCTCACAGCATTAAGTGCACAAGCTCTGAGCTCCCGGATGATGTGTGGAGGGTGGAGTGTACTGCAGCCATGCTCACCTTTCATTTGTGTGTTTGATGTGGCATTTATATTAAGTAGGAGTAATTTTTTTTCTGATTTTTTTTCTTGTGTCACCAGTGCACCTATTCCATTCTTCCATCGCTGTGCTCCTGTGAACATTTCCTGCTATGCCAAGTTTGCAGAGGCCCTGATCACCTTTGTCAGTGACAATAGTGTCTTACACAGGCTGATTAGTGGAGTAATGACCAGCAAAGAAATTATATTGGGACTTTGCTTGTTATCACTAGGTAATTGTTTTTCTCATTATTAGCTATTTCATAGTACTGCAGAAGACTGTTCTTTTAGCCAAACTATGAATACAACTGGGGATACTTGTAAAATGTTTGACTACCCATAGCCAAAATAATTGTTTCAGATTATATATTGTTATATAAAATATATACATAGAAGTATGTATATGTATATATCTGAAACTCATTTTGCTTTTTTTCTTTCGTTAAAGCAAACTGTTGTTTCCCCACTCTTTGGTTACTAAGTCATAATTACATTTAAAATGATGGCAGGAGGCTCGTTTTAATGAATTAGCAATCCTCTTGTTTTTAGATACAATTCCACAATGTATATTTATATAGAAACAAGACTATGTACTCTATTCTATCTAAGAACATAGATTTAGGTTACTTTTGAAGTATGTCATTTTCTTTTTTGCTACAGTTTGTAGTATCGGTGTCTCACTGGAAAAGCTAGGAAATCTCCACTTGTTAGCCATTGAATTTTTTGGTCAATAGATAAAAAATTACCTATATTATTTCTAGGACTATATAAGGGCATATCAGAGTTTATAGGCCTTCTTAGTTGGGAAAAGTAAACTACTAGGAACCAAACAACTTTAATTTCATAAGTCAAATGAATATTTATGCCTTAACAACAGCTATATTCCATGAGCAGACGAGCTGTATTTCCATCTTTCCTGTTGTTAGAGAGCATTTTCTTTTTACACAAGTAGAACTTAACTGAATTGAAATAATGCTGTCCGTATGAAAATCTAATTCTGTGATATTTGAGGGGCTCCCATCTGTTTTTTTATTCTTGTACATTTATTGCAAAAATGAATATATTAATAATATTCCTAGACAGATCCTAGCCATTTGTTTAGCTTTGCAAATGGCCCAAAGAAACTTGACTCCTAGTATAACTTTATATAAAAATTACTTGATTTTCTGAAATAGTGGAATGTTCCAAACAAAAATAATATACAAACTTTTAAGAATAATGACAATAATGTGAATTCACTGGAATTTCACTTTTATTAGAATGGTTTGCTTTTGAGGCTTAAGAATATAATATCAGCCCAAGATATCTTTGTTCATTCATTTGTGGAATGGACCTTTAGATCATTAAAGATTTATAAAATATTATTTCAGAAATATATTTCCCACACAAGGGTTAAATGCCCTGTTTTTTTCAAGAATTTTGTTCTTTAGCATATTGGAATTAAGTTTGGGATAAGTAAGGGAGCTGATTAAATAACTCAAGCTAATCTTCGCTAGTTTTTGAGGAAGAGCGCTGCAGTCAGTTGAGAAATGAGGTCAGAGGGATTTGGCTTCCGTAGGTTTCAGGGTAATAGTCTATACAGGGTCACACTTTCCCTTGGAGTTGTAGAGTTAAATATAAAAATCTTAGATAATGTTAAAATGCCATCTAGTTTGTCCAATGACCATTAAAGAAGTTAGTCCTGAGATGTATAGGTTACTCAGGGCAGTGTAGCACTAACTGGTCTCTCTCTCTCTCTCTCTCTCTCTCTCTCTCTCTCTCTCTCTGTGTCTACATGTTACAGGGTTTTTTGTTTTGTTTTGTTTTGGGGTTTTTTTGTTTTTTTTTGTTTTTTTTCCTTTTGGTCATCAACATGACATGTCATTGTCTACACCTCATGTGCTGGCATGTATGTTTGCATGTCTGACCTCTTGCTGCTGGTGAATCCACAACAGTCTTGGCTGTTTTTGAGTCACCGTGTGCATTTGCATGTGTTCTTTTCCGTAGTTTATAAACCACAGAGTTAGGTGTCTTTGGTTTTTAGAGATGCTATTAAGTGGTACAAGAAGCAAAATCAAACTGCAAAAGCAGCCCGATGCCTTTCTGTCTGAAATTGTGGTCATGAACTAGTCAATAGCATCAATTTATTTCCATAGGCAAAAGCAACAGTTAAAAGTCTTTATGTTCTCCTATGTTTTCAAATAATATTCTTTGTGTTCTCTTTCTTCCTTGCAGTTCTATCCATGATTTTGATGGTAATAATCAGGTATATATCAAGAGTACTTGTATGGATCTTGACAATTCTGGTCATACTGGGTTCACTTGGTAAGCCAATTTTTTTCTCTTTGTTTTCGTGGTTCCTAACTAATTCTGTGGTAGCAAATAGGAATTAAAAAAGAAAATGAAAGCTTTATTTTTACATGTCATTTCTTCTCCTTAAAGGATTTTTATTTTTGCCTTGAGTTTGTCATGAATATTCTTCCTGATCTCACCCTGTTTAGCATTTGAAATCCACATATTTTTTCTATGTGCGTGTATACGCATACAGTGTGTAGTTAAAATTAAGCTTAGTTTAAAATTCTGTCTCTACTTACAGTTATAATCTGACTGCTGTGTTTGCTTTTCCTGCTGTCACCTACTGTGTGTTTTCCTGATGGATGCTTTTGTATTTTTTTCCTATCTTTTTTATATGAACTATATTTCCTCTGGTGGTCTGTGTCCTTGCCCTGGATTTTTGTTGTATTTCTACCTCTATATTTTGTAACTTACTCATAAAATGCTGTTTAATCTAGAATTGTACAGTTACAAAGGCAGAAATGATTATGTATTGGATTTTCCTCTGCTTTTAAAAAATGTAGCGTTACCTTAACATCCCTGAATTAATCACTCCCTTCCGCCCCCTCTGACTCCTTAGCCTTATGAAATAATTTGAACTTTTATATTCTGTTTATTTTTAAATTTAAAATGATATTTCTATATACTATGTCTGAGAACTGATTTACTTTTGTCTTGAAGGGCTTCAGAGATATTTACATTTATGTTTAGGTTTTTCTGAATGAGTTTTAGTCAGAACTACCGACCCGGTGTCTATAAACCTTTCCTGAATTCTTGATCTGCTTTACCTTCATAGTGATTGGAATTCGAGCGATTCTGCAGCTTAATTTTACTTCTTATCTCTCGGGGATAGATCTTATTTCTGTATTTGATTATTGTTTCCGTCTCAGTGGCTTTTTTAAAAAGGTTGTTACTTATTCTATATGTATTTTATAGTCTTCGAAATCATCATTTCAGTTCTTTGTAATTTTCTTTCATGTTCAGTAAGAGTTCATCAGGTAGATTTCTGGTTACTGTCACTTTCAGGTTTTCCCACTGTGAGTCCATATCTGGTGACTGACGAAGAAGATCTGAAATTTGTTCTTTCCAGTTTTTTCTATTTTCTACTTCTTCCTTCTCTCAACTATCTTTTCATCTCACATTGCAGCCTTTGAGTCTGACTCGTGTTTAGATGTATAGTTTTTATAATACATTTAAATTGAATCACAAAGCTACTGCATACTAAACATGCAGTATTTCATGTTACTTAACTTTCCTAATTTCAGTTTTATAGTTTTGTCACATCTATAAAGGAATTAGCACAGGTACAGTGCACAGTTCAAATCTTCATAAATGGTTTCTACAGTGAGCAGTGTCCTCCTTAATGATGCGATTATTATCTCATTCTGCTTTCCTTAAATTTTAGCTCTTTTTGGAACTTTCTATTCCTGCTTGTAGAAAACATTTTTTCCATTTTTAAATATAGTGAATAGTTTCCAATTTTCTTGTACCTTGGGGTTTCAAAAGAGAAGAAATGCTTTTGGTTTCTATACTTCTTTAATAGAAGAAAAGTTCATGCTTGGTATTCTCCAACAAATGTGATGTGGAGCTTCTTTTTGACCTAGTCACTCTTTACTTGTGTATAGATGATGGTCAGGTTGGTAAGCATAGATCTTAGCCCGGCTTCTTATCTGCCAGTCATTATTTATCTTATCTATACCCTCCCCCCAAGAAAAGCTCTGAATGTCTGTCCCCTGTTGTAGCCTGTAAGCATTTATCCTATCCTGCCCGTCTCCTACCACTTCTTCCTTGCTGAGTTGCTTTAGGAACAGTGGTTTCCTTTCTCTCTTACTTGGCTTGGTCCTGTCACAGCCTCCTAGACCTTTGCTTGGAATGCTTTTTCCTTGAGTAGATTCAGAAGTTGTTCTTCCTCCGTCTCTCTAACCTCCTGTTCAGATACCATCATCTCCGTGAGGCGTGCTCCTCGGTGCCATGTAAAATGGCCAAGGCCTTCCAAATCAAGCACTGGCCTTCTTACTAGATTTCCCCCTTAGGTTAGCATTCAATTTTTGCTTATTTCCTGTGATTGTTGTTTCCTCATTACTATATAGCCCCACTGAGCAGAGACAGGGGACTTGGCTTGCTGCTCTGTCCCTGATAGGTGCTATAGGCTTCAGGATGTTTCCTCCATATGCTGAGTGAAAATTCAGCTCTTATATGGAGGTAAGTTTGCCTTGTTCTTCAGATTAGGGTGGGTTTTTTTGTTTGTTTTTTTTACTTGACCCCTACCGCCCACGGCTATCAGAGATGTCCTGGTTTTGTTCCTACCTTTGGTAAAATCTGCTCTTTTCTGTTCTTCATTTATTTATTCATTGTACAAATATTTAACCAATTGCGTGACTATGTGCACTAAACATTGGGGTTACCAGCTCCTCTCAGAGATACGAATGGTTACTGGCTCTCTCTCAGCTTCATGTGCAATGAAGAAAGTTCACTGATACTCTGAAGGATTTGTAACATTAAAGACAGTCATGAAGGCATGGCTGCCCTTGCCCCAATGCTTCCAAACAATTATACCCGCACACTTTGTCATTGTGTTGGGCCCATGGCAATATGTAGGCTCAGGAAATTGAGCATTTATGTCACGTATTTTCTTATACTGATTTTTGCAACAATCAATGGTTATCTATCTCCAGGTGGCACAGGTGTGCTGTGGTGGCTTTATGCAAAGCAAAGAAGGTCCCCCAAAGAAACAGTTATTCCTGAACAGCCTCAGATAGCTGAAGATAATCTGCGGGCCCTCCTCATCTATGCCATTGCAGCGACAGTGTTCACTGTGAGTAGGAGCTGGTGTAGCTCAACACTGTGTGTTTGCAGGAGATCCTTAATGGAGCACCCCTGTGCTTTGTATTCCCACCCTAGATCTCTGTTAGATCAAACCTGTCCTGTGGTGTACTTGACACCCCAGAGTCTGCTGGAGGTTTCCCTGATTGATAAGGGCTCTGTGATGCAGCAGTTTGTCCTACCTACCCAGTCTGCCTTTTGAGACAGTTTTCACCTAAAATATTTATGTTGTCATTTGCTAATAACATGCTTCTTATTGTACTAATCTGATTGTATTTTAAGAAACAATCCTCTTTATTGTTGAACAGTATATTAAGAAAGAGCATATCATTCCATTTACTTGTTCATTATTTTCTGGGTTTTTTTAAAATTTACCCTTTACTAATATATTAAAAAATATAGGTGAGATATACTGCTCTATGGTTCGATAATCTGTACTTGTATTTTTT